AAACGGCGATTCCGCAGACGGTGATAGGAAGCCTCGACCCGGCCCCGCCCCCGGCGCCAACTGCCACCAGGAAGCCGGGCCTGAGGCCACGCCCCCAGCCCGAAGACTCCGCCCCCACAGGGACCGGTCTGACGGTAGCCACGCCCTCATCGCGCCTTTCTCCCGGCGGATGGAAGGTAATACTCGGTTGTGATTCCACCTTTTGGAAAAATCCAAGTAGCAGTGGTTCTCAACCTTCTGGCCCTTTAAATAAAGTTCCTCACTTGTGACCCAACCATAAAATTATTTTCGGTGCGACTTCCTAACTGTAATGTTGCTACTGTTATGAATCGTCATGTAAATATCTGTTGTGCAGGATGGTCTTAGGCGACCCCTGTGAAAAGGTCGTTCGACTGCCAAAGGGGTCGCGACCCACAGGTTGAGAACCGCTACAAGTAGCATGCTCAGAGAACCATCCCTCCTGCTTCAGTGCACTTGGAGTAGGACAGACTCCTTAGCCAGAGTGGAGGGGTATGCAATTGTGTTAATTCTCTACTCCTGTGCAACAAAATTACCCCCAAACTCAGTGGCTTAAAACAACGCCACACACATAGTAGGCGCTCAAGAAATTTTAGAGAGGAGGAAGGAAGGGAGGGAGGAAGAGAGGGAGCGAGGGAGAGAATAAGGAAGGATATTCTCTCTATCAGTGTTAACTCTTGTGTTTCTTTCATCTTTGTTTTCTCTCCTTTGCATGGAGAGATTAATGAGGAGTGTGACCTTCTAAAGGAGACATCCTTGTCTGAGCTAACATATGTCCAACTGGAACTAAATTAAAAAGCAGTTCTGGGTATTAATCATTTATTATTGCACGTGGTTTCTGTGGGTTAAGAATGAAAAGAAAAACAGTTGTTGAAGGATGAGACTTCAGCTCTGTCCTATTGCGCTGTGCAAAGCGGGTGTGTTCTCAGCGGGCTCCCCTCAGTTCTCGTGTGCTGGGTGCGCTGGCTCCCACAGCGGCCTCACTGCCTCTGGCTGCTTAAAGCCACAGAGACCAGCAGCACTCTGATCTTTTTGATAATGTATTATTTTTATCATTGGAGAAAAATTGCATACTTTAAAGTAAAAAGAAAGTGGGGGTGGGGTGGCTGCTTGAATATCCGCACATCATAGCCCCTGGCTTCCTTCAGAGGGAGCCATCCAAAAGATCAAAGTGTCTTGGCCGGGTGGTTCTGGCTCAGGGTACCTCGTGAAGATGCCATCACATGTCAGAGGTGATTGCATTCATCTGAAGCCTTGATCAGAGCCGAAGAATCCAAGGTGGCTCGTTAATGTGGCTGGCAAGTTGGCACTGAAGAGGATGCTATTTAGTCTGAGTTTTCTGGAAATTTGGGAACCGACAGGTGGGAAGAGCTCAGGCAGTAGCAACGTATCTTCATGAGAAAATGAAAGAACAGCCTGAAATCTCTTTGCAAAGTGTTCCATAAATATACTAATTTCACAATCCACGCTGTCCCCAGCCAGGAAATGCTGTCTCCAGCAGCTTTCTGTTAAGCCCAGCTTTCTCTCAGTAGGGCCTTGGCTCCATGTCTCTCCAATCCCCCTGCCCTCTGTCAAGTTCATCGAAGCTTCTGCTGACTCCAGAGGAATGCAGAGAACCATCACTGCAGTGAAAGTCTCAAATCACCCCACAGGGCCCCTAATAACAAAACATCTGCTTGTCATTCTCCCTCACCCCTCTGGGTCTTAGTGAGAAAGCAGCGTTAAATGAGGATAATGAGAACTTAAAAACGCAGTTTCCTGGCCTCCGAGAAGGGAGGCTTGATTTGAAGGCAGCTAATTAGCCTCACATTATGATTTACAATGAGTGGTTGTCTTGCCTGCTGTTGCTGGTCTGTGAGCAAAAGTCGGAAAAATGGGGGGAGCAAGGGGCGGAGGAGATGTCCACGTGAACACATTTTAGAAAGCGGAGGGCAGAGAATCCCCAAGTCAAAGTAGGACTCTTCTCGAACATGTGGTCCAAACCTCTCGTGTTACAGCTGAGGAAACTGAAGCCCAGAGAGGGGGTGGAACTGGCCCCGAGTCGCCCAGCAGCTGGTGTGGAAGTCTCCGCAGTGGCTCCGGCCTCAACCCCATCCGGGGAGATGAAAGGGTAGCTCCGTCTGCCCCACGCAGCTAAGAGGCTGCGCTCAGACCACCCATCCAAGTGGCAATTGGCACGTCCGAGCTTCCGATAATCACCAGTGTGGGACGATGGAGCCACGGAACCAGGAGGTGGAATAATTCCTCCAGGCCTGGGACAGAGTTTAAATTGGAGGGTGACGGGGGGTTAGGGAGGAAGATTGCTTCACTTCGATGATAAACACTCTTTATTGAGTAGCATCGTGGGCTTTTCACGCAGGATCAGCGTGGAAGAGCTGTGAAAAGGCAACTTCAGCTGTGCTGGTGATGGCAAAGGTTGATATTGATGCTTTTAGCCATCAAACCTGGGTTGTAATGTAGTGGAATAGTGACAGCTCTTTAGCTCCCCGCCCCCTTCCCCCAGAGCATCGAAAGAAGCTCCTGGAAGATATGCCTTGACCATTATAAAGAGGGGAACCTAGTCTTCCCATGTTTCTAGCTATTTATTCCCTGGGCCGCACAGTCCCCAGAGGGCTCCGGAATGCAGCCACTCTGACCATCTTAAGTGTCCTGGCTCCTCACACTTCAGGGCACTGGCGCATGCTGCTTCCTCTGTCTGAAATGCCCCCATGCTCCCCTCACCAACCTGAATCATCGTCACCTCTTCCTTCTGCAGGTGATTGTCGTTCCCTGATATGCACAGTCCCAGCCAGCTCCCTGCACGTCCCTGTGTAGCACTGATCACAGCTCATCATCTTGTGTTTTTTTTTTGCACTTGATTGTTTAATCAACAACTGTCTCCCTCATTAGACTCTGCCTTCTGATCCTGGGAGCCACATCTGTTTTGTTCACCAACCTTCTCTCCAGTTCTTAGCTTGGTACCTGGCACCTAATAGGGTGCAATGAATATTTGCTGAGTGGATGATTGAATCAAATTACTATGATGATCTAGACAAGCTCTTTCGATTGCAGGTAAAGAAACCATGGTCCAGAGCTAGGCAATGACTCACCCAGGGTTACACGTAGGCATCGCATAGCTCCTTGCTAATGATTCATTTCCTTAAAATACCTTGGCACCTCGGACAGGGCCGTTTTTAAGGCAAGGTTCAGGGACTCCATTGTTTTTTATTTCCTGGACAATTGTAGTTCTTCTTCTCCTTCTCCTTCTCCTTCTCCTCTTTCTCCTCCTTCTCCTCCTTCTTCCTCACCTGAGGATATTTTTCCATTGATTTTAGAGAGAGTGGAAGAGAGAGAGAAAGACAGAGAAATATCAATGTGAGAGGAAACACATTGATTGGTTGCCCCCTGCATGCATCCTGACCAGGGCCTGGGCCCGGGAGGAACCTGCAATCGTGGTATGTGCCCTTGACCGGAATCAAACCCGGAACCCTTCCATCTGCAGTTCAATGCTCTATCCACTGAGCCAAACCGGCGAGGTCTGTAGTCCCTCTTTTGAACAGAAAGCTCCCCATGAGGCAGGAATCCTAAACCTGGGTCCACGAAGTGGCTCCCAGGATCCATGCACCCCTTGCATTGTATACGGATATATTGGGGAGCATTTTCCAGTAAAGGGGCTGCAAGACTTTCATCCCAGCCTCAAAAGAGCTACATGCCCACAGTGCTAAGAACCACTGACATCCGCTCTCTGCTGAATCTCCTCTTCCCGCTCAGCTAGAAAAGCCACCCCATGGCCTGAGAAGCTCTGGTGACAGAAACATGGCCTAGCGTGAGGCTGTGGGTAATCAATGGTCAGGGCTAAGGGGCTCACACGTGGATCAGAGAGAAATGCTTTTCAGCTTCAGCCGGTTGGGGTTATCAGAGAAAGTTTCCTGGAACAAGTGCCAGTGCAGCTGGCTGTAATGAACTGTGAAGGTTAGAGAGGCTGGAAGTGGGGTGGGGCTGGGGGGACAGGGGGGCAGATAGGGTCCTGAGTTCCCTTCTGGAAGCCCCAATGCCCCCATCGACTCCTTGTGCTCTAATCTAAACTGTCTAGTATCAGGGTCCTTTGGGTCCAGACACCAGCCTGGCTGTAGAGTTTCTTTTCCCCTCTCCCTCGAGAAGGCACCGTGGGCTGCTTTGTGATGCCAGCGGCCCTTTGTCCCCTCTGTTGAATTATTCATCCTGTGAGATGAATTATTAATTTCCAATTTTGTATAGCAAATGCCAGCCAAACAGGTAGAAATGGGGTTGGTATTCTGGGCATGGAGCCACAGACCTCCCCAGGTGCCCTGAAGCACAGGCCTCCGGGGCCAAGAAATTATGCAAGAATCTGCAAGGGGCTCACCCTGGAATGCGTTGGATCGAGGGTGACATTGGCACCAGAGCACGGTGCCCCTGGAATGGCTGGGCTCCCTTCTCCTCCTCCTCCGGCTCCCAGGCCCCTTCCCCTCCTGGCAGTCCGGACCGGCTCTGGTGCTAGGCTGCATTGCATGTCCAGCGTGAGCTCAGCTGTGTTCAGCAGAGTTTGAGTTTTTTGAGTTTGATTCTGAGCCTAGAATCCTAGGGGCCCTGGGTTAGTCACACAGGGATTCTCAACCTCAGCACTATTCATCTTTTGGCCAAGATACCTCTTTGTTGGGGACAGTTCTATGCACTGTGAGATGTTGAGCAGCATTCCTGGCCTCTACCCACTACAGGCCAGCAGCACACCTCCCTTTCCCCCGAGTCGTGGTGACCAAAAGGTCTCTAGATATTGGCAAGTGTCCCCTGTGGGGCAAAACTACTCCCACTTGATGACCACTAGGTTGGTTCTTTCACTTTTTTCATTCTTTTTTTTCTTTTCTTTGTCCTTCATCTCATCTGTGAAGTGGAGACCCAAGTAGTCATTACCAGGGTGAGATGATGATGATCCAATG